GGGGCCGAGGCCAGCGGGGACAAAAGCAGAGATTTCAAACACCCTCTTCTCGGCCATGACGCTGACCTTGTTACGGTTGACTTGCATCACGTCCCCAACTTCTAAGAGCATCAGGGACAGTTGGCACTCCCATATATTCTGCGATGACTTAAAAAAAGTTCCGTCAAAGCACGGATCGTGGAAGCAGATGATACATATGTAATGATCAAGCCTTGCATTATATTATTTCAGTACAGGATGTGGAGGTTTCAAAGACACCCACGTTTACAGAATGTTGTTGCTACCTATACCACTATTCATATCATCGATACCTCAGAGCGAGAACCGCTCAGTCTCTGCAGGAAAGCCTATTATACTGAGCGGTTCTCGCTCTGAGGTATCGTCATACAAGGTCCCCACTGCCGTTTAATTCTCCTTCAGTGTTTAGAATAGCATGATATGGTCCGTGCGGGTGGCTGAGCCGAGCCGAACCGGGCCGAGTTCCGGGCGCCGGCCGAGCCGAGCCTGGCCGAGATACGATTCGAGCCGAGCAGTGACGCCGAGCCGAGCCCGGGCCTCGCGCGCGGCTTCGGTGCAGCCTGCCGCTGCCGGAGAGAGGGAGGTAGAAGGGAGGGGGAGGGGGGCTGACGCTGCGGGACTGACGGCTCTGGCATGGCGGGCGCGCGCGGACGGACCACCAACAACCAGCCGCCCCCCGGTCTATCTTCTACTGGTGACGTCACGCTTTCTGCCTTGCTCTGCACGGTGCTGCATGAGAGTACAAGCAATGACACATTTGACAAATCATTCTTATTAATTTTAGTTATGTGAAATGTTCAAAGTTTCAGTTACAAATGTATCATCTGCTAAAAATATATTCTTCAGATTAACATCAAAGGAAACGGGGTTAGACTCTACGTTTGTTGTCCATTGAAGACCCCTAACTCTCGTCCGCATGGTTTTGAAGTATTCAGGCAGAGATGATGCTTCTGCTTCTGCCCCTGTTAGCTCGTAGACTGTTAGTGACTCGCCCTCGGCCGGTGGACGCCATCTGCTGCAGAATGGGTGGAATAGTCTGAACACGGCATCCGCTCGCCGCCACCTCAGGTCTGCCGGCGACCATCTGTCCACCTCCACAAGTGGGGGGGAGGCTTCATTGGCATTAACACAAGATTTGGGTGGCAGAATGTACAAGGTGGTGCTTCCGTTGGGGGTTGTGACCGCTAGCCCGGTTGGCTTCTCACAAAACAAGTGGTAGTGAGCCTCAGGAAGAACCCCTGACCCCGTCGTCATCCAGAACAGAAAGTAGCAATCGTCCACAAGTATCGTGTTCCTTTCCATCCAAGAGTACGGGTCCGCGGGATTGTCTGACACGACGAGCGCCGTGCAGTTCACTTTCACCCCAAAGTTTCCCTGGAATCGATCATTTTGCGCCTTCTCGTCTGGGAACAGCACCCAAGAGGTGTCCTGGGACAAACCTCGGAGGAAATCCCGAGTCCAGTTCACCTGGCCGAGGATGAGCAGGGTGGTCTTCTGCGCGGCGAGGAAGGGTGAGAGCAGGGCCAGGGCGCTCGTGGCCTCGGGGGCCGCCGTCATGTCCACGTCGGGGAGGGCGGAGTGTGCCCATGGCGCTGTGGTGAAGACCAACACCAGGACGACGGTGACGTCCATTTCGTGCGCTGGGTGGGGCGACAGTGCGCACAAGGAACCTCCGCACCTCGTCGCCGTGTCCAGCAAAATGCTTTAGAATTACTTTACGGGATAAATTGGGGGAATCGATCAATCTTAACTTAAACTAAAGTCCGTCCAGATGTTGTCGCGCCCTCCGACGCACTTGTCCTGCTTTATCAGGCCTCGCCACGCTCCCACTTCAAAGCACTGCAATCTCCATTTATGATTTTGTTCACTTCTGCCACGGGTACATAATTTTCCTGTCAGTTTCTGACTTTTAAGTCAGTCTTTGTCACGGGGCAGATAAAGGATAGCTAATTTATTTTTTGTCAATATTGCCGTTTGTCTCTTTTGTCACGACGTCTTGGTCGTGCAGGTACAGCGGGACCTGTAGGAGGACTTTCATGTTACGAGTAAAAAGTTCTTAAAGCAAGCGTTGGCGCGGCCTAGGCCGCTGATTAGACGTCGGCCGGTGCCTAAATAAGTACTGTGACTCTGCCCTTCTGGTGCAGTAATTTAGGAACTACAATCCATAACTGCTGGCCACCGACGTTTAGTCAACGTTTCAGGGCGCACCAACCGAAGTCGAATGGCACTTGAAGTTTTTCTTAAACCTCACAGTTACTAGGGGTTTACTTGGGCCTTACAGTGTTTTTTGTCTCAAATATCCCTCTACCGCCTTCATGGTACAAAATAGAGCAAAACGGACAAAATTTAGGTCCAAAGGACGCTACTGTGACGTGTTACCCCTTAGAACACAGCCTTACATTTTTCAAAAAATATCATTTTTTAAAAATCTTACTCCCACCTTTTATAAGAAAAACCGAATGTGAGGTTTAGGAAAAATTTCAAGTGCCATCCGATTTCTACATAAATAACCTTCAAATTTTCCAAGTTTCAACGAAATCGGAAATTTACACCTGACAAGGTTCCCTTGTAAGTATCATTAGCTACACGGTTAATCAACGGCGCGGTTTACTGGATGGCAGTGCAGCTGCTCCAAGGGGATGTCCGGTGCAAGCCGACCTGCTCCCCGAGCGCGCGGGCGCAGGGCGGCCGCTGGACGACAGCGACGAACGCCTTGTCTGGAGCCCCCGGGTCGCTGCCCTGCAGGAGTCGCCGTGCTCCCCCGAGCCCCGCACCACCTCGCCGTCACAAGCTCGACCCCGAGCGCGAGCGTGGCCAGGGCGAGGCCGATGAAGAGCACGTAGAACGCCGGGGCCACGTGCCTCAGTGTGAGAGCCATCACCTGCTGCAGGGACACCAAGTACCTCGCGAGCGCCACCTTGTTACCTTCGTCCAGCTTGTCCTCCCAATGGTCCAGGATCCCCGCTTGATCCAAGTGCTCGTATGTGGAGCGGGACAGCTCGCCCAGCGGTGACCCATGGGTCCACACTGCGATCAACCTTATCTTCTCGGGGACCAGAGGGAACGAGTGCACCTTCTTCTGTGGGATGGTCAGTGGGTGTAAGAGACGCCGTAGGGTACGATCATGTATCGCGATCATAGCGCAGTTGCGGTGCTGCGCTATGTGTTGAAGGGTCTCGCTTGCGTTCATCCCTAAGGGAATGGTATGTGGTTTGTGTGAGTCGAAAATCAACTCTTTCTCCAGCATAGTAAGTGCACTCCACATCACGTAGACGGGAAGGCCAGTCTCCTTGAGGGCACGCAGGCTGTTGACCTCCGCGTGATCTCGTGCCGTGGACAGCTTGCCCAGCAGCAGCCCCTGGTAGGCGGCCACCAAGACGACGCACACGAGCAGCCACACGCCGAGCAGCGGCCGCAGCGCGCAGCTCGCGGGCGGGGGCGTCCCCGAGGCCTGGCCGTGCAGGGGCGCCAGGGCGAGCAGCAGCGCCGCGCCGCGGTCCCGTCGGAGGATGCAGGCCAGGGCGGCCGCGGTGCTCAGCGCGGCCAGCGCCGTGCCCAGCCACACCGCCGTCGAGAACTCCACCAGGACTGCGTCCAGGGGGTTGACCGCGGGGCCGAGGCCAGCGGGGACAAAAGCAGATATTTCAAACATCGCCTTTTCTGCCATTACGCTGACCTTTCTTGGGTCGAAATTTACCACCTCGCCGTATTCTAAGAGCATCAAGGGTAGTTGGCACTTCTCTATCTTCTGCCATGACTCAACAATTATGTTCGCCAAATTATTGCCTGGGAAAGCGAGGTTAGACATTATGTTCCCTGTCCGGCGAGTGCCCCTTATTTTCGTACTAAGAGTTTTAAAGAATTCGGGTAGAGGTTTCCCGTCCTCCCTTAACATCTCGTAGACGGTTAGCGACTCGTCCGCGGCCGGTGGGCGCCACCTGCTGCAGAAAGGATAGAATATCCTGAATATGGCGTCTGCTCGCGGCCAGCTCTGGTTTTCGTGCGACCATCTGTCCACCTCCACAAGGGTGGGGCGGACACTACCACAATATTTTGGCGCCACAGTGAACAGGGTGGTGCTGCCTTTGGGCGCGGTGACTGCTACGCCGATGAGCTTGTTGCAAATGTGAAAGGAGTAAGGAATGGCCACCTGCTTGTCTGTCGTTATCCAGAACAGAACGCGGCAATAGTTCGTAAGTTTCGCCTTCCTTTCCATCCAAGAGTACGGGTCCGCGGGATTGTCTGACACGACGAGCGCCGTGCAGTTCACTTCCACCCCAAAGTTTCCCTGGAATCGATCATTTTGCGCCCTCTCGTCTGGGAACAGCACCCAAGACGTCTCCGGGGACAGACCTCGGAGGAAATCCCGAGTCCAGTTCACCTGGCCGAGGATGAGGAGGGTGGTCTTCTGCGCGGCGAGGAAGGGCGACAGCAGGGCCAGGGCGCTCGTGGCCTCTGGGGGCGCCGTCATGTCCACGTCGGGGAGGGCGCAGAGTGCCCCGGGCGCCGCGGTGCAGACCAACACCAGGACGAGGGCGGCGTCCATCTCGTCTGCTGGGCGGGAGGGTAGTGCGCACTGGGACCCCCGCGTCCCGTTCCCGTGTCCAGCAAAAGGCTTTAGAACTTTTTCGTGAATAAACGTTGGCTTCGTGTGAATCGATCAATTTGAAATTAAAGTTCGACCAAACTTTGTTGTGCCCTCGGGCGTCGTTGTCTGGCTCTATCAGGCCTCGCCAAGCGCGCCCCGGAATCTCATTCATGGTAGCTTTTTACGATTGCCGCAGGTACATAATTTTCTCGTCAAAGTTGCTTTTAAGAATGTCTAGTCACCGGGCAGATAAAGGGAAATAACTCTTGCGACGTGGCCGTCAGTCTCTTTTGTTATAACGATACTTAAAACTTACTTTATTCAAAGACAGTATTTTTGGTTTAAGTCGCAACTTTTCCCCAAGCTTACATCCTCTTTCGTTTGTTTGTTGCAGAGGGCCCCGGGTCGGCGGGCAGCAGCAGCCCCTGCAGCTCCCTGGGGAGCTCCCCCGGGCCGGGCGCGCGCTCGCTGACCTCTGCCCACGGCGGCAACGGCGCCCTCGCCATCTTCTCGTTCGCGCTTCCGGCCAAGCAGGCCCGGCTGGCCTACAAGGAGCAGCAGCAGGCCATCCGGGCCGCGCTGGACGCCGCGCCCGGCCTGGCCGCCGCCGGCAGCACGCTCGGCACGCTCGAGAAGGGCGGTAAGTACGAACCGGGTGACGCCGACGTCCAGAAGAGGTCGAAAAACACTTGCTTGGGAAATTGCGAAAAAAACGATCAAGCCTGACATTCCACTCGTTTAATGTGACAACACGCGTGGCAGCCGGGCGGCGCGAGCCTCCTAGAGGCCGAACAGGTCGAGGGTGCTGATGTCCATCCAGAGGGCGGCCGCCGACGACAGGGCCGCGACCCCCGCGAGCAGCCCCGCCCATGGCAGCCGCGACCTCGGCGGCCGGGGCGGCGGCCCTCGCACCGAGGCCGGCGTGTTGTGCCTCCGCCGAGACCGCGACCTGGAGCGCGCCCGCGGCCTCCGCCTCTGGCGCACCGCAGAGGAGTCCGGCGTGTCCTCGGCGTCCGCCTCTGCGCCCAAGCCGGCCGCGAGCCTCGCCAGCAGCTCCAGTCTGGGAAGCGCGAGCGCGTCAGAGGGGAGTCGAAAAGGCACGTGGACACCTTCAACTTGGTGGCATCACCGGGGCGTAGGACACCCCAATGGGATCTCATGGTGGTCTCCTCGAGGTCTCTCCGAGGTGTCCCCGAGGTGTCCCCATCATGCCCCCCCCCCCCCCCCTCTGTGCCCCCGAGGCCCGGGACTGACCGGGCGAGCTCCTCGCTACTGCTGGCCGCTGCGGACCCGGCCGGGAGGCTCGCGTCGCCCCGCGCCTCGCCGGCGTCCCCGAGCTCCGCCGCCGCCGCCTCCTCGTCCTGGTCCGAGTCCCAGTCGGCGCCCACCGAGCCCGCCTCGGCCTGGGCGCTGGACAACTGCAGGGGAGCACGATGGGGATGGGCAACATTGGTAGGTGTGTGAAGTATCATGAGAAAAGAGACAGGTCATGAAAAAGTCAAATACCCCACTCTCGCCCACTATATTCCACTAAAACAGGAAAACGAATTGCAAAGGTGCAAAGAGAGATCGTAAGAGTCAAGTCAAAAAAGTACCTGTGTGGATTAACTAAATAGAAACGAGGAATGGATAACTCGACCTTTTGGCGTACGCTGGACGCAGTAGTGCGGTGATAGTACAGCCGGAGTACGATCAGAGTACACTCGTTCTAAGTCGCATTCAATTGAAAAGTGTCAAAATTAAAGCGCCGGTGGGCGCTCGCACGCAGAGCCAGCCAGGCGCCTGCCGAGACCAGGGTAGGCACTCCAGTCGGACACGGGTGACCGGCGGGCTTGCCTGGCCGAGACCCGAAGGCGCTCGGGCCGAGCTCGGGCACTCGGGCGGGCGCTCACCGAGGGGTCGCTGCCGTTCGGGCTGCCGGTGTCGGCGATGGCGTCCCCCGGGTGGGTCCAGGAGGCGAGGGCCGCGTTCCTGGGCGCGGCCGCCGCCGTCAGCCAGGCGGCCTCTGCGCCGGCCTCGGCCGAGCTCAGCGTGTACCGGTTGAGGGTGCGCTTGAGCGGGACGGCCACCCCGACGGCCACCTTCATACACGGCCACAGGCCGGCGCGGGTCTGCAGGGAGCGGGAAAGGCCAACACACGTGTAGTTATGAATCAATGTTTTACAAAAGAAATGTAAGTAAACTTAAAGTTTGTTTTTAATCTGAACACCTACATCATATATGTGTGGCCTCTGACAGCGCGGGGTGAGTGGCTCAACCTCGACGAGCTGATACAAAGACCGATGTCAGCTTTTTTTGAGTGCGTCGGGTCAGCGCATCGCCAAGCCCCGCCGTTCCGAAATGAAAATCGATAAACTCACGGCCTCGTCGGCGTGCCCGTCCGGGAAGGAGTCCCGCTCCTCCAGGTCCTCCGCGGCCGTTTCAACATCGGGCGCCTCCTCGTCCGACTCCCATGTGTCGCTGTCCGCCAGCGCGCACCAGTCGGCGGCCGCCTCGAAGTAGGGCCTGCTGAGGGCGAACAGCGTCAGCCTGGTGTTAGCCTGGCGTCAGCCAGCAGGCAGGCGGCAAAGCTAGAGCTCGCCCCAGACGCACCCGGCTGCCTTGGCCGTCGTGTCGGCGACCTCCGTCGGCGTGCTCGTCGTGGCCGCCGGGGCGCTCGAGGCCTTCAGGACGGGAAGGCTGGCCAGCTCCGGGGCCCTCCTGACCAGGACGCCGGCCGAGTGCGCCGTGTCCGGCTGCTCGGGGGTGGTCGGCGCGGACAGCTGGTCGTGGACGGCCGCTGACGTGGCCGACGCGCCCCCGTCGAGCGCGGACAGCGACGCGAGGCCAAAGGTCGAAATGGTCCTCTCGTTGCGGTAGCTCGGTGCCAGGATGACGGACGCCCCCGCCTCGCCGGCCGCGCCCTTGAGGGAGAGCCCGAGGTTGCCCGGGCCCTCGCCACGGCTGCCCCCCGGCGGCGGCAGCGCGTCCAGCGAGGACGAGTCCCTGCCCAGCCAGTCGCCCTCGAAGAGGGTGGGCGGGCCGCGGGCCGGGCTCACCAGCGACCCAAGTGAGTCGCTGTCCAGCATGGGGTCCAGCATGGGGTCCGCCGCGTCCGTGGAGGTCAGCAGTACCCCGGACGTGCCTCCAGACTCATCGCTCTGCTCGGCGTTTGCTAGACTCTCGTCAGGATCCGCTGGCGCCGGGTTCCGGTGCGTCCCGTCCTGCCCCGTGTCCTGCGCCGCGTCCCTTACCCCCCTCCCTACTAGGTCGGCGTCGGTCTGCACCGCGACTGACGCGCGCGCGGGGGACGTCCACGTGGCTACGTCCATCGTCGGCGTGACGTTGTCTGCCTCCGCTCGGCAGGCCGGCGTCAACGGCCGTGACCGGCTCATCGATGGCGGGCTCGGCGGTGTCCGAGACCTTGCCGTGGTGGTGGTGCTGGTGGCGTTGGCGGGGACCTCCGTGAGTTGGGGCTGCGAGGCGGAGGGGACCGAGGCGCCGAGGCCTGTGTCGGCGACCCGTGTCTCGGAGCGTGATGGCGCGGCCAGGGTGCAGCTGGCGGGCCGGGGGCTCCCGGCGCGGGGCACGGAAGTGGCCTTGACGGCCATCCGCACCTGAAGACTGCGCGTAGCGTTCACCAGGTCCAGGTCGCCCCCGAGGTCGCCACGTCCGGCCCACGTCCAGCACACAGCAGCTCACCGGTCTGGGGTTGCTGAGGCGCTTGGGGTAGGTCGCGGGGCGGTAGGAGCTGGTCCTGGGCGAGGCCGGCAAGGGCAGCAGCAGCTCGGGCGAGTCCAGCGGGTCGTAGCCGTCCTCCCCTGAGCCCGCCCGCGCCGCCACCCCCGCCTCCCGGGTCTCCCGCCGGGTGAGGAGCAGCTCCAGCTGGCGCTTGGCCTGCAGGGGCTGTCCGGGGAGGCTCACCCGGCGCAGCGCGCTGCCGATGGTCCCGGGGGAGGCGTCGGCGGGCACCTGCAGGAAGGAGCTGCCGCCCGGTGGGCAGGTAAGACGACTTGCGGTCGCAAGGTCGCCAAGCGCAAAGGCCCCGAAGTAGTACCTCTTGGGGCTGTCCACGTGGCTTAGGGAACGCCGCGGTGTGGGCGCTGCGGAGGGGGTGGCCGTGGACGACGCCGGCGACGCCACTAGGTCGGTCTGGCTGTTGAGGAACTCTTGCATGGCGGGCGGCACCAGGATCTTGCAGGGAGTCACCTTCGTGTTGGGCAGCGACGCTTTCCTCCGGGGAGGCTGCACCTGCGCACCACGGATAGGGGGCTGGGAAATACTTCACGTTGTTATGATATGTTCAGTTCATAGGTTCGCGATACATTTGTTACACATTGTAAATACATACCAAATGTTAAACACAATTTATTTCAAAACAACAAATGTTAACAGTTAACACTTAAAATTCTGCAATGAAAGCCTACTTTTAAAGCTTACTTTTTTTCCGAATACTCTCAGTAATCAATTGTGTTTTCGTTCGTATACAATTCATTGTGGGTAACATATATTGGACAGAACTGTATCATGTTAAATAATTTGTACAAATACATCTGTCTTGCTCTGTTTTTGTATAAATTTAACGTCGTTGTACTGTGGGGTGGTACCTGCTGGGCGGGGGCCACCGTCCTACGTATGCGCATCATGACTGGCGGGTGAGCGGGTGCAGCAGAGGGGGCAGGGGCGGCGTGCGCGGCGGGGTTGGGGTTGGGGGTGGGGCCCCCGGGCCTGCGCACGGCGCCTCTCCTCACGCCGCCCTGCCCCTGCCGCTGCTGCTTCTCTCCTTGGGCCGGCGACAGGGCCACCTTGGCCTGGTCGGGGGCGGCGGCGGCGGCCTCGCGGGCGGCCCTGGGGTGCGGGGGGTCGCCGTCATGGCTGGGCACGCTCGCAGGTGTCGCGGGGGCGCGACCCATGGGGGGGCCCTCTGGCGGGCGGGCAGCGCGCTCGACGCCCAACAGTTGGCAGCCATGGCGACTGCCACAATCGCACTTCGTTGTAGGCAGTAGGCACTCGGCGAGCACCAGCCACCACCGTAACGTAACCTAACGCCCCCGCTCGTCCTGCTTTGCAGTCTTGTTCCCCATCGTGCACGTGTGCGACGGCGGCGCGCTCTTCCAGCGCTACCTGGACACCGGCTGTATGCTGACCGAGGACGCCCTGGGCCCGGACTACGCGCTTTACCAAGGTATGTGTTGTGTCAGCCCCCGAGGCTGGTGGACCAGCGAGCGGCTGCGCGGGTTAGGCGGCCAACCTGGCAGGTGCCGAGGGGTCCTTCACTTTAAAAAAATCGGTGTACACCCTTAGAAAAAATCACGAAAAAACATGAAAAAAAACAACCAATAATCAACTGACAGTCAGAAAAAATCGGAAAAAATCAGAAAAAATCACAAAGAATATAAAAAATCACAAGAAATCAAGAAAAACAGGAAAATTGGTGTACGCTAGAATTTATAGTGAAGGGCCTCTCGGCAGGTGCTCTGCTCACGCACCTCGTGCCGTGTGGTCCCCCGAGGCTGGCGGCCCAGCGCGCGCCCGCGTGCGTTGGGCTGCCTACCCCGCGGGAGAGCCCGGACCGGTCTTACCAAGAATTGTCTCCCTCACGCGCCTCGCGCTGCTCCCAGGCTCGTACCAGGAGGTGCGCTGCATCGCCCCGGAGGGCGCCGACCTGGCCGCGCCGCCCTTCGACCAGCCGGGCGCGCCGCGCGACTTCCTGCTGCTGGGCTTCAAGGGCGTGGACGAGAGCTTCAGCCAGGTCCTGGAGGACTCCTGGAAGGACTGGACCGGCGCGCGCCACATCTACCTCTTCCTGCCAGACCTGCTCGGCCTGGAGCGCATCTCGCTGTACCGGCGCGTCGAGCCCGACCACATGCAGCTCTTCAAGTACCTCGTGCTGGCCCGCCTCGGCCCCACCCCCACCGACGGACAGGCCACCAAAGCGCAGGTCAGTTAGTAGCACGTAAAAAGTGTGTTAAAATTGTGTTAAAAATTACAAGTGTGCTCATTATTATGTGGCAGAATATGTCCAGCTAAATTGTTTATGACTAGGAGGCGTTTGTTTACGATCGAATTGGACTGAAGAGTCTATAAAATAAGTTAACCTGTTTTCGTTTTGTTTTTACTGTTGTGTGGCGCAGGAGGTGCTACTCGACTACGCTCAGCGCCTCCGGGTGCACAGGATCAGCGCCTATCTTTCCGTGTACCGGTCGCTGCCGAAGGGTGGCGGTGGCTCAACCTGGACGTCGGCGTAGACGGCGCGCACGTACCGCCCCGTGGACTGCCACCGAAACTTATAGTTGATTGCAACTATTGCTGATACGTAGCGAGCGTCTTGCCTGACAACGTCAACGCGGGAGCAGAAGGCTGCAAATCAGCCTCCCTCAGGGACAATACCGTAATAAAAATAATGTAATTAATATGACAAAGCTAATCAAACAAAACATAGTTTTGTTGTTGTTATCGTGTGTGGGTTGAGTTTGTACAACCCACTTTTACATTTTTCTAATCTAGTCCAAAAATAATGTAATTGTTGTATTCATAGTAAAATTGATAATAAAACTAGGAAAAAGAGAAACTCTTGTTTTTTTCCCACAACACAAACGAGATTAGCTTAAAGTCGCTGTCCGCCCAGCCCTGCCTCAATATCTTCGCGGTTGTCAAGCCACACGTGACCCTTCCCCCATGCAGCCCACCACCGCAGAGTGAAGGAGATTAGATTTTGATGCGTCGCGAAAGCAGTTAGTTGGTGGGTTTGTGCAGAGACTCGGGGGAGGGGGGGGGGGGCGCTGTTGGCCACCTGGCGGAACAACCAGGTCGCCGTCATGCAAGTTCGTCAGCACCGTTCTCGTCACCGTCCTCGCCGTCGTCCTGCAGAACGCCGACGTCATCGTCCGCCACCGCGGCGGAAAAACGCACTACTATTGGAGCCTGGAGACGGTGAGGGAGCGAGCTAGGAAAGAGCAGAGACAATATCGCGAGGGAGGGGGAAGATAGAGCGAATACGAGCCACAGTTTCAGTATGGGTTACGTCTGCACCGGTATCAAATCGTTTTTGCTATAGTAATAAAGCGAACCTATACTACGGTACCAGAACCAGCAGGCGGGCGGCGGGCATGGCTGGGCACGCTCGCAGGTGTCGCGGGGGCGCGACCCATGGGGGGGCCCTCTGGCGGGCGGGCAGCGCGCTCGACGCCCAACAGTTGGCAG